GCATTCTCCACCTCTGTTTTCATGCCTTTTTACATTGGCTTTTTTTGCAAAGCTGGTGGCACCTTGAGGGTTTAAAGCCAAACTACTTACGTCAGCTTTGCCGGTTTCCGTGTAGTACATATCATTGCAAGCCTTCAGAAGCCCTATCAAGTCACAGTTTTCTTTTATTCAGCAGCGTGTCCGCAGTGGGACATCAAAGCGCTAAATACATAGCATTATAGAGTGCTGTCGATCCGGCCATTGGAATCATCGCCAGAAGCAATGTGACTATCTGGGAGGAAGATAGCGTTTTGGTCAAGTGGAAGCAGGTGGACTTAAGGGTGAAGCAGCTAGGCTTTTTGGGTGACTTTCAGTCACCTGACCCTTGTGCACAAAATAAAACAACAGCACTGTTTTGCCGAAACCCAGGATCGGACCAGGAACCTTTAAATCTTAAGTCTAATGCTCTCCCAACAGAGCTATTTCGTCTGCCCTTTCACTAGTATCCTGCAGCATACATGTCTGTGAGACTAAGCAGAATCCTGAAATGCCTCTGAGGCCTTAAAGGGTAAAAGTTTGGCCAGTACGGGGATCGAACCCGCAACCTTGGCGTTATTAGCACCACGCTCTAACCAGCTGAGCCAACCGGCCACTTTCCGCCATGTTTGCTAAAAAGCTCAGAGTAACTGTCATTTTCCGGCCTTCAAGAGATAAGAATGCTATTCCAGCTTTTTTTGTGCAGTGCTGGTAAAAAAACAAGGTCCCACCGAGATTTGAACTTGGATCACTGGATTCAGAGTCCAGAGTGCTAACCATTACACCATGGAACCTCAAGTCTTCTGGTTAGTGCTGCCCGGGCTAAACAGAAAAAAAGAAAAAAAAAAAAAAGAAAGACAACGGCCTTGCCAGAAAGTAGCAGAATGTCAATACAAGGCAGTGCCAATGTGCATTGATTTCTGAGTAACTCGTCATTCGGCATGCCGGGCTCCTCACACGTTTACTGGAGCAGGACCAGGTAGGGCCTTCAAAAGAAAAGCGCACTATTCCAGGTATTTTGACGACTAAACGGCAGGCAGGGCAAAGAGGCCACCACAGAGCAAATGTGATCTTTTTTTTCTGTTTTGACCACGTCGAAAATTGTCAATTTTTGATTGCTCTGAGGGGGAATTAGCTCAAATGGTTAAGCGCTCGCTTTGCATGCTAGAGGTAGCGGGAACAATGCCTGCATTCTCCACCTCTGTTTTCATGCCTTTTTACATTGGCTTTTTTTGCAAAGCTGGTGGCACCTTGAGGGTTTAAAGCCAAACTACTTACGTCAGCTTTGCCGGTTTCCGTGTAGTACATATCATTGCAAGCCTTCAGAAGCCCTATCAAGTCACAGTTTTCTTTTATTCAGCAGCGTGTCCGCAGTGGGACATCAAAGCGCTAAATACATAGCATTATAGAGTGCTGTCGATCCGGCCATTGGAATCATCGCCAGAAGCAATGTGACTATCTGGGAGGAAGATAGCGTTTTGGTCAAGTGGAAGCAGGTGGACTTAAGGGTGAAGCAGCTAGGCTTTTTGGGTGACTTTCAGTCACCTGACCCTTGTGCACAAAATAAAACAACAGCACTGTTTTGCTGAAACCCAGGATCGGACCAGGGACCTTTAAACCTTAAGTCTAATGCTCTCCCAACAGAGCTATTTCGTCTGCCCTTTCACTAGTATCCTGCAGCATACATGTCTGTGAGACTAAGCAGAATCCTGAAATGCCTCTGAGGCCTTAAAGGGTAAAAGTTTGGCCAGTACGGGGATCGAACCCGCGACCTTGGCGTTATTAGCACCACGCTCTAACCAGCTGAGCTAACCGGCCACTTTCCGCCATGTTTGCTAAAAAGCTCAGAGTAACTGTCATTTTCCGGCCTTCAAGAGATAAGAATGCTATTCCAGCTTTTTTTTGTTTAGTGCTGGTAAAATAACAAGGTCCCACCGAGATTTGAACTCGGATCACTGGATTCAGAGTCCAGAGTGCTAACCATTACACCATGGAACCTCAAGTCTTCTGGTTGGTGCTGCCCGGGCTAAACAGAAAAAAAAGAAAAAAAAAAAAGAAAGAAAGAAAACGGCCTTGCCATAAAGTAGCAGAATGTCAATACAAGGCAGTGCCAATGTGCATTGATTTCTGAGTTACTCGTCATTCGGCATGCCTGGCTCCTCACACGCAGTGGGACATTAAAGCGCTAAATACATAGCATTATAGAGTGCTGTCGATTAGGCCATTGGAATCATCGCCAGAAGCAACGTGACCATCTGGGAGGAAGGCATGCAGGGCTCCTCACACGTTTACTAGAGCAGGACTAGGTAGCGCCTTCAAAAGAAAAGCGCGCTATTCCAGGTATTTTGATGACTAAACGGCGGGCAGAACAAAGAGGCCACCACAGAGCAGATGTGATCTTTTTTTTTTTTGACGCCAAAAACTACCAATTTGAATTTTTCTGAGGGGAATTAGCTCAAATGGTAGAGCGCTCGCTTAGCATAGGAAGGGGCCCAATCTTCTCGCTCACTCGCAAGCGAACAAGCCGGAAAAAAACGGAAAAATGCGACAAATTTTGCTTGCAGTAGTGTTCGCGGCTTTGTGACTGTGCATAATGTGGTATTTTGGTTGCATATTGCATGTCATTTGTAAATGTCATTTTTTTTGCGTGCTGGATTCGAACACACGATCTGTGTAACACAATATCCAATCAGTGTCGGTTTCAGCGGAGCCAATCAGCTGCGCTCTTATTGAAATTTTACTGACGTAACACAGGCAATTATATTGATATTACTATTATTATGTGGATATTGTTCTTAAAAAGCATATTATGTTAATTAAAAATGAATGAAAATGTTTCAATTAAACATATGTATGCATGTTTATGTATATATAAGTATATTATATATATATATATATTTATGTATTAATATATAAATATATACTATACTATACTATACTATATATATATATATATATATATATATATATATATATATATATATATATATGTTTTATTTCTTTATGTAATAACTTTAAATGAATGCACACAAAAACAAGTAATATGCAAAATGGTTTATTAAAATGAACACAAATATTAAAATCGCAAAACAATTAAAAAAATGTAAAAAACTAAATAAAAACATATCTTTATATATAAACTATATAATATACAATAAATAAAAGCAATACAATATATATTTATTTATTATGCACGTGTAATATATTAAAACAATACTATATATAAATATATTTATTTATTATACACATTATATAAAAACAATACTCTATATATATATATTTATTTTTATATGCACAATATATTAAACAATAATATAAATAAATAATAAAATGCAAGAGTGGGGGCACGTAATGTATAAAATATAAGCAATGTATATTGCTTATATTTTATACATTTAAGCAATGTATAAAATGCTATTTTTTTTAAGAAATATAAATATATTTTTACTTAAAATGCACACAAATATTAAATAAGTACACACAAGACAAAATAAGAGTGGGCCTATAAGTGCCACTTTAAAATGCTAAATATTAACACACAAAAATTAAATAAAATGAGAGAGAGAGAGAGAGAGTACCCATGTAACATTTACAAAAATATATATAGCAATTTGTCCTTTATTCTGGAGCTGGAGTGCCAACCAGTCCTCTAAGGATTTGCCATTTGAAGTTTGCAGGCAAAATGTGGCATTACCAAATCGGCTATGGCCAAACTCCTTAGTCTTTGGTTGCCCACATTTGCTGCAAACATTAAAAGTAACCGCACGCACATACTTCCTTTTGTGGACTCCACTTTCCTTCTCCTGTTCCCGTCTGCGCCTGTTCCTCTGGACGTAACGGGACACAGGAACAGCAGGTGGAGCAGGTGCAGGTGGAGGAACAGCAGGTGCAGGTGGAGCAGGTGCAGGTGGAGGAACAGCAGGTGCAGGTGAAGCTGGGACTGCACTGGATGTTGGTGCAGCAAATGATGGAATCACCATTGACACACTCATGTCTGGGTTAAAAACAAGTGTGCCAAACAATGATCCAGGTCCTGAAATGGGCTGCACAACACCTGGTGCTATGGGGGGTGGTGCAATGGGGCACACCGTGCTGGGGGTCGGTGGAAAGGAGCACACCGTGGTGGGGGCAGACACAATGGGGCGCACTGTGGTGGGGGCCGGCCCAATAGGGTGCACTGTGGTGGAGGCTGGTATGATGGGGCACACTGTGGTGGAGGCTGGCGAGATGGGGCGCACTGTGGTGAAGGTCGGTGTGACGGGGCACACCATGGTAGGGGCCGGTGCAATGTGGCAGACTGTGGTGGGGGTTGGCACGATGGGGCATACCGTCGTGGGTGCCGGTGGAAAGGAGCACACCGTGGTGGCATCCGGCAAGAAGGAGCAAACTGTGGTGGTTGCAGAAGCAGACTTTCGACCAGGTCGAAGAAGAGGTGCCTGTCCTTCTTTATTTGGAGGAAAGACAAACTGGTGTTTGGGGCCTGATGTTGATGGTGCCTCGTCCAATTTTTCCCTCGGCAAAGGAAGCTGCATATCTGCCACAGCAATTGGATCAAGTGGAGTCAGTCCCTGAGTGAGTACACTCATTTCCTGATCCTTTTGCCTCCGTTGAAACCTGATAATAAATGATATGTATTATTCATATATTTTAATTTATAAGTATTCAGGTAATTTAAAGAAAATAATGTGCTTTGCTTACCACTGAATAAGCGTCTTCTGGTTTAGCTCAAAAAGCTGGATCACTGTTTCATCCATCAGTCTGCGACTGCCAAGCACCAGATCCCGGATGTGGTGGTAATCGGTCAGTATTTTAGACCACCTGGGCGTGCGAACATCAGCCTTCTTGGAAGTGGACTTGTGTACGGCACACAGCTTTGTACAAATGGCCTCAACCAAGCGGCTGGTGGTAGGCCACTGTGCTGGACCCCCAGGATGTCCAATCAGACAGCGCTTGACGCTCTCCACACCTGGAGTGACTCTGGAGCGCTTCGGTGCCTTAAAGCGCCCATGTGTCAGCTGAGGCTAATGTCGAGGCTGGTAGTTGATGCGCTGTTTATCAACATCCAGGAGAGCTGTCCACAGCTGAATGGCCTCTGTCACCTGCAGGTCAGTGAGGTAAGGAGCCTCACGAAGACCTACCAAATAAGCAGCCTGATCCTGCACCTTGTCCCACCCAGCAATGCCATCAGGTCCAATGACTACTCCCTGGTAAATACAGAATAAATTTAGTATATGTGGAATAAAAAAAGACTAAATCAAATTAAGTTCTTAATAATCTTACCTGAGCCTCAACAGAGAGACTGTCTCCAGACTTGGATGGCTGTGACGGCACTGAGGGGGCTGGGCTAGGAAGCTGTCCTTCTCCACCAGCTGATGTGGACGGCTCAGCCAGTGATGCTGGGGACTGAGGCAGAGGCGAAGATGAGGGGCTGTTTCTGAGATCACGGCAGGGGTCATCCTCAAACAGCACTGGAACTGTGATGTCCTTCATGATCACCTCCTCAAACCCGTCATCTTGTAGATCCTCGTCATCAACTTCCTCCACCAGCCTGTCTTCCTCCTCTGGGTTCTGGAGCACCGGAGTCAGGGTTTTGCCGGTCTGGCTGTAAAGGTGCTCCATTCCCAGCAATTCACCTTAAAAAAATAAAACAATAAAAAAACATATATTAAATAAAACTAATTATAAAATAAACATTTAGATTACCATTTTGTGTAGTACATTAAAAGCTTAATGAATAACTTCCATAACAACTAATTAATGGATTTCTTGCCTGTATATGCTCCAGGAGGGTGATAGCGGTTCTCCCAGGGCTTGCGTCCTGAGACATATCTTTTGGTGGACAATGAGCATTGTGTTTTTCCTCTCTCTCTCCCTGCAGGTAACTGTGTCCACCTGGTAGCAATCATTGGATCTTTCTAGAGAGGAGTGAGAGTATTTAACCTGAGCTGCACTTCAAACCAGTGTTGGTGGTGTCAAGTGCAGTGGCTGAGCTTTTCTCCAAATTCAGACCTGACTCATGAGGTGAACGGATCAATTCTTTTTCCGGCTCTAAATGCGTATGATTGGCCCATGATGAACGAGTGACTCAGACCCGATAGAGGACTCAAGAGATGAACGGATCAATTCTTTTTGCAGCTCTAAACGTGTATGATTGGCCCGTGAGGAACGAATCACTCAAACCCGATAGAGGACTCAAGAGATGAACGGATCGATTCTTTTTTTCGGCTCTAAACGCGTATTATTGGCCCGTGAGGAACGAATGACTCAGACCCGATAGAGGACTCGAGAGATGAACGGATCAAATATTTTTCCTGCTCTAAACGTGTATGATTGGCCCGTAATGAACGAGTGACTCAGACCCGATAGAGGACTCGAGAGGTGAACGGATCAAATCTTTTTCGGCTCTAAACGCATATGATTGGTTTCTGCCTTTCCGCGATGAACGACACGAAATGTGATGAAGACTTGAAATAACGATACCACCTGCACAAATGTACGCACGCGCAAATTAACAACAACCCTGAGAGGACTTGTAGTTCCCAAATCATATTGAAGATTCGTTTAAAATGAAAGAAATGTTCATGATCGACCCATTACTAAACCTGGTTAGATACCTGCTCCAGTCGGGGATTGAACCTTGTGATCTACCCAAAGTGTTATTTATGGACATATTTCTTGAACCAGTACTGTTATATATGCATTGAGTAGTTTCTGGTGGGCAAAAAATACAAAATATAACCTTAATTTCGCTTCTTTCTTTCTCAATTTCTCAAATTTTCTTATTTTTCTTGTGCTTTTTTCTTCCCCTTCCAAAACAGACTATTGTTCCCCAGCTTTAGCGGAGTCGGTAGAGGGTCCAGGGTTCAAGTTCGTGTTCGGGCATGAGAGACTCTTTGTGGAGCCACAGCTTTTGCCGTTGAGCCATCGCTTGCTGAAAGTTTCATCTGAATGCACAACACGTGTACTAGGCATGAGGACATGGGAGAACAGGCAGTCTTGTAGTCATGGCTGAGTGGTTAAGGCGATCGACTAGATATCTGTTGGGGTATTCTCCCGCAGGTTCAAGTCCTGCCAGCTATACCCACATCCTGTTCCTTTTTAAAATTGCAGCAGTCATCAATTGTTTGCATTTCCATTGTTTCTTGGGAAAAGCGTTGTGCTGGTAGGAGGAGAAAAACAACAGTGTGTTCTCACTGAAGAGAAAGGGGCATATCACATGGAGGAACATACCACACAAGAGCCACAGCGGCTGTCTTGTAGCTCGCTGTGATCGTATAGTGGTAAGTGTTCTGCATTGTGGCTGCAGCAACCCTGCTTCAAATACGTGTCATGGCATGTTTTTCAAGGCGACATTGGTGTTGCACTCTGTGTTGCCATCCATAATCTCCAGCCTCCTTTTAGTGCAGGCTGTGCTAATGGCACGTCCTGAATGTTTACGTTTCCTAAAGTGTGGAGGACTAGAGATTCGATATAAGAGAAATAGGATCTTTGATGGCAGCATGCTGTGTAGATAAGTACTGATCAAGTCATGCTTCTAAGGCATGGAAGGAATCTTTTCAATTGTTGAGTGTCCATTCATTGCCACAACAGCAGAAAGACCTTCTGCAGTTATCATTGATCTCTTTAATGTCTCCTACATGACATGGAGTCCAAACTATTGTGTTGTACTGATGTCTACACCTACAACAACCATAAACCCAACCTCAAAGTAACCTGTCGTGTTTTAGCAACATCTACACCAACCATAAGCTTAAACCTCATCTCACGGTAAACTTTAGTGTACTGTGAAGGTCTGCGCCAACCACAACCCTAAAAATTGCCTACTTGAAAATTACTGTTGTGGAGCCTGGAAAGCTCATTCGGTAGAACATCAGACTTTTAATCTGAGGGTCCAGAGTTTAAGTCCCTGTTCGGGCGTGTAAGGCTCATTTTGTGGAGCCACAGCTTTTGCCGTTGAGCTATCGCTTGATTAAAGTTTCAACTGGATGCACAATACATGTACTACACATAAAGACATGGCAGTTCAGTCAGTCTTGTAGTCATGGCCGAGTGGTTAAGGCGATGGACTAGAAATCTATTGGGGTCTCCCCGTGCATGTTCGAATCCTGCCGACTACGTCATCTCCCATTTTAAAATTGCAGCAGTTATCAATTGTTTGCATTTCCATTGTTTCTTGGGAAAAGCGTTGTTCTTGTAGGAGGAGAAAAACAACAGCGTTCTATCTGAACAGAAAGGGGGCATATCACAGGGAGGAACATACCACACAAGGTCCACAATGGCTGTCCCGTAGCTCGCCGTGATCGTATAGTGGTTAGTACTCTGCGTTGTGGCTGCAGCAACCCCGGTTCAAATCCGGGTCATTGTAGATTTTTCAAGGTGACATTGGAGTTGCACTCTGTGTTACCATTCGTAATCTCCAGCCACCTTTTAGTGCAGGCTGTGCTAATGGCACGTCCTGAATGTTTACGTTTCCTAAAGTGTGAAAAACTAAGGATTCGATATGAGAAACAGGATTTTTGATGCCAGTATGCTGTGTAGATAAGTACTGATCAAGTCATGCTTCTAAGGCATAGAAGGAATCTTTTCAATTGTTGAGTGTCCATTCATTGCCACAACAGCAGAAAGACCTTCTGCAGTTATCATTGATCTATTTAATGTCTCCTACATGACATGGAGTTCAAACTATTGTGTTGTACTAATGTCTACATCTACAACAACCATAAACCCAAGCTTAATGTAACCTGTCGTGTTTTAGCAACATCAACACCAACCATAAGCTTAAAACCCCATCTCACGGTAAACTTGAGAGTTCTGTAAAGGTCTGCGCCGACCACAACTGTAAACCTTGCCTACTTGTAAATTACTGTTGTAGAGCCCGGATAGCTCAGTCGGTAGAGCATCAGACTTTTAATCTGAGGGTCCAGGGTTCAAGTCCCTGTTTGGGCGTGTAAGGCTCATTTTGTGGAGCCACAGCTTTTGCCGTTGAGCTATCACTTGGTGAAAGTTTCATCTGGATGCACAATACGTGTACTAGTCATGAAGACATGGCAGGTTAGACCGTCTTGTAGTCGTGGCCGAGTGGTTAAGGCGATGGACTTGAAATCCATTGGGGTCTCCCTGCGCAGGTTTGAATCCTGCCGACTACGTCCTCTCTCTTTTTAAAATTGCAGCAGTCATCAATTGTTTGCATTTCCATTGTTTCTTGGGAAAAGCGTTGTGCTGGTAGGAGGAGAAAAACAACAGCGTGTTCTCACTGAACAGAAAGGGGCATATCACAGGGAGAAACATACCACACAGGTGTTACAACGGCTGTCCCATAGCTCGCCGTGATCGTATAGTGGTTAGTACTCTGCGTTGTGGCCGCAGCAACCCCGGTTTGACTCCTGGTCATGGCAAGTTTTTAAGGTGACATTGGTGTTGCCCTCTGTGTTGCCATCCGTAATCTCCAGCCTCCTTTTAGTGCAGGCTGTGCTAATGGCACGTCCTTAATGTTTACGTTTCCTAAAGTGTGGAAGAGTAGGGATTCGATATGAGAAACGAGATCTTTGATGCCAGCATGCTGTGTAGAAAAGTACGGATCAAGTCACGCTTCTAAGGCATGGAAGAAATCTTTTCAATTGTTAAGTCTCCATTCTTTGCCACAACAACAGAAAGACCTTCTGCAGTTATCATTGATCTATTTAATGTCTCCTACATGACATGGAGTCCAAACTATTGTGTTGATCTTATGTCTACCCCTACAACAACCATAAACCCAACCTCAAAGTAACCTGTCGTGTTTTAGCAACATCCACACTAAACATAAGCTTAAACCCCATCTCACGGTAAACTTTAGTGTACTGTAAAGGCAGTCTTGTAGTCGTGGCCGAGTGGTTAAGGCGATGGACTAGAAATTTATTGGGGTCTCCCTACCTCCTCTCCCCTTTTAAAATTGCAGCAATCATCAATTGTTTGCATTTCCATTGTTTCTTAGGAAAAGCGTTGTGCTGGTAGGAGGAGAAAAACAACTGCGTGTTCTCATTGAACAGAAAGGGGCATATCACAGAAACAAACATGGCTAACATGGAACGACAAGAAAATCAACAACAGGAAAGACAACATGAAAGGAGAGGAAAGAAGTACTTGAAGGAAGCAACTGTAATACTAAACGTGGACAAAGTAAAAGAGGTGAGAGTTTCAGACATTATTAAGGCGTTAACAGAAAAATGTGGACATGGGAGAATTTTGGCAATAAGACCAAGAAAGGACAAAGAATATGAAATAAGTTTAGAAGAGGAAGAAACTTGTGACAAACTGATTGATGGACTAACAATAAATGAAGAGAACTGTGAAGTTAAAATGTTACAAAACAGAGACTACGTTGTCTTCTTTATGCACTTGCCTGTTTATCTGGAGGATAGTTTAATATTAGAAAAATTGGATGGATGGGGTGTTAGCCCCTTATCAAAAATTAAAAGGAGGACATATCCGGGCACTGAGATTGAGGATGGGACAAGGTTCATAAAGACACGGTTTCCCAAGGAGGTGGCTTCGCTTCCATATAGCACGAAGTTTGAAACGGCAGAAGGACCACAATATTTCCGGGTGATGCACAGCCACCAAGTTAAGATTTGTAGGCTGTGTATGAGCCCGG